TACAGAAAGTTTATCTGAGGTGCGGAAGTAAATCATGGACAGCCAACAAACAACTGAGAAACTATGCTGAAGCTGCAGAGATCGCAAAGGATAGATAAAAGCTTTTCTAAAAAAAAAACAAAAAAAAAACCACCATCCAAGAAACCATTTAACTAAGTAACAAACCACTCAACAAACTTACAAACCAACAAAGCTACCAATCCATGGCTTGCTTTGCGAAAAATAATCGTCACGTTCAAACAGCTGCCGAAAGAAGGAGCTTCAGGTTATAATTGTAAATCGGTTATTTGCGCCATATGGCTTATCATTGCTCCCCACCAAGTAGCTCTGAAAAGAACTCTTGCAGATTTGATGCGATCACAGCAGACAGACCCAAATGCTGGGTCAGATGCTGATGGCGAAGTCAGGTGCTTTATTAATATCATATTTCAAACAGGGAAAATCCACAGGTCATGGGACAGTCTAATATTTCAGGGGGTGGTAGATAGGCTGCATGCAGTCGTGGAACCTAGGTTGCATGCAGTCGTGGAACCTAGGCTGCACTCTCTCATTGAACATAGGTGGGTTGGGGTTAGGGCCAGTTCTAGATGTTTTGGGGTCAATAAAAGCATTAGGAAGCCTAAAACCCCAGTCGTACCACCCTCTAAAATGTTGGACTGTTCTGTGACGTCATCTGGGGTAGGATGTGTGTGGCAATAAAAGAATATAAATAAAATAAATAAATAAAATATAAATACAAATATAAATAAAAAATAAAAAAAACGTCAAATTGCCACAAATAAAGAATCCGAAGTCGTCTACCGGTGAGCCAATGGATGACTAGGTAGACAAAGAGCCAACCAACCTCCTATTGCCATCTATAAATATGTAGACTTTCCTCAGGTAATCAACCCATTCACTCACGACCATCAGGACCTGAGTCTTCAGAATGTCAGCGGAAAACTGTGGAAACGTCAGCGACAGGCGGTCAGTGCTGGCATGAGTGCCAAGTCTATCAGAAAGGTCTGTAGCAGGTCTTTTGTGTGGTATCTTTCTGTACTATAGACAGAGAAAGCTGGCATGAGTGCCAAGTCTATCAGAAAGGTCTGTAGCAGGTCTTTTGTGTGTTACCTTTCTGTACTATAGACAGAGAAAGCTGTCTGGTATGAGTGCTAAGTCTACAAGAAAGGTCGGAAGCAGGTCTTTTGTGTGTTACCTTTCTGTACTATAGACAGAGAAAGCTGTCTGGCATGAGTGCCAAGTCTATCCGAAAGGTCTGTAGCAGGTCTTTTGTGTGTTACCTTTCTGTACTATAGACAGAGAAAGCTGTCTGGTATGAGTGCTAAGTCTACCAGAAAGGTCTGTAGCAGGTCTTTTGTGTGTCACCTTTCTGTACTATAGACAGAGAAAGCTGTCTAGCATGAGTGCCAAGTCTATCCGAAAGGTCTGTAGCAGGTCTTTTGTGTGTTACCTTTCTGTACTATAGACAGAGAAAGCTGTCTGGCATGAGTGCCAAGTCTATCAGAAAGGTCTGTAGCAGGTCTTTTGTGTGTTACCTTTCTGTACTATAGAAAGCTGTCTGGTCTGAGTGCCAAGTCTATCAGAAAGGTCTGTAGCAGGTCTTTTGTGTGTTACCTTTCTGTACTATAGACAGAGAAAGCTGTCTGGTATGAGTGCCAAGTCTATCAGAAAGGTCTGTAGCAGGTCTTTTGTGTGTTACCTTTCTGTACTATAGACAGTGAAAGCTGTCTGGTATGAATGCTAAGTCTACCAGAAAGGTCTGTAGCAGGTCTTTTGTGTGTTACCTTTCTGTAATATAGACAGAGAAAGCTGTCTGGCATGAGTGCCAAGTCTATCCGAAAGGTCTGTAGCAGGTCTTTTGTGTGTTACCTTTCTGTACTATAGACAGAGAAAGCTGTCTGGCATGAGTGCCAAGTCTATCAGAAAGGTCTGTAGCAGGTCTTTTGTGTGTTACCTTTCTTTACTATAGACAGAGAAAGCTGTCTGGTATGAGTGCCAAGTCTATCAGAAAGGTCTGTAGCAGGTCTTGTGTGTGTTACCTTTCTGTACTATAGACAGAGAAAGCTGTCTGGTATGAGTGCTAAATCTACCAGAAAGGTCGGAAGCAGGTCTTTTGTGTGTTACCTTTTTGTACTATAGACAGAGAAACTCCGGGGTTGTCCATCCTATACTCTATCTTGACTAGTGTGAGGTGTAATTTTAACTCTGTTCGGGGTTACTTTCATGTTTGATGTGCTACCTAAATGCATTTGGTTGGTGTCTGTGGCTAAGACAATGCGAACTTGCTTCGTAATTGTGATACACCTGTTTAATTCCAACTGCTGACGAGTTGACATCAAACCTTCCAGCGCTGAATTTGACATGGGTATCACGAGCCCAACGTGCAGTGTCAATGGCAAGCCACAGAACATCAACTTGCCTAAGTAAAACGATAAAAAGCTGACAAAAGCTGCAGTTGATTCTGCAACGCCTTGTGAAGAATATGCAACTAACCCCTAATAATATTAAATGTGAGTACGTGATATTGTAATGTTGCAATTTTATTTTTCTAGAACTGTTCTCGTTCCACATTGATAACACAAAGTTGGCACAAATAATACATTTATGTTGCCCTTTTGAACTGGTTACTCTTTATATGGCTTTCTGTTTAAGTTATTCTATTTCATTCTACTGAAAGGTTAACCTATTATGTCGAAGGTTTTGCGACAACTTCGTCTGACCCAAAAGATGCATTTTCTAATTCCTAACATTATAGGATTGTTGCTCTAAGACGAAACAATTTTACAAAGAAGGGAAAAAAACATGTTTGAACTGACATATAGCTAAGCCTGAAAGAGTGAAGTAAAAAAAAGTACCAGTTTACTCCCTCCGATGCACAGTGGGCAAATCTTGCTAGTCCCATTTTGTACTGGTAAATAGTCTCCCGACTCTTAATGTTGACAGCTTCATATCGACCGTCTTTACTTCCTATAGACTTTCTTGATACTTTTATTTTTAGACATGGTAATTGGGGCTTTTTATGATAATTATCATCATCATCGTCCTGTTTTCCGGTTGCCGAGAAACGACACAGCCTAGGGACCAGTTTCACTCTACGCCCAGATCTTGCCGACTGTCAAACACAGTGCCCTTGGGTCCATGAAATGATGAGTCTTAAGTCATAACCTCGGCACAAAGTCTTGGTTGTTCGTCCACTTCAGGACTTTGATCTTGCTCCAGAACATGAGTTTAGCGTGCACATCCGTTTGACAGATCTGGCTTATTTGTATGCAGAAAGTAAAGTTCCCGGTCTCTCAGGCAGATGCACACTGTCTTTGAAATAACATCCCTCTTTAGCCGCTTCGTAGACATGCTCTTTGTGAGTTGGGAGCACTGGACAGTGAGTCTACCCCCCCCCCCTTTTTAAATCCCCTTTGGGGTGTTAAAGCCCATGCAGGGAGATAAAGAGTTTAAGATCCTTTCTTAATTCTGCAGATGTTTCCGCTAATCTATGACGTCACGAGTAACTTGATCCAGTGGTTTGAGCAGGCAGCACAGAATAACCCTTCTGGGTTCTATATAGATGAGTAAGTTATATTTAAGCGCCGTAACACAGTGACTCCTCTCTCTCTTTCTCTTTCTCTCTCGCCACCTCTCATTCCCCTGTCTCTCTCGCCTTCGCTCGCATATATATATCATCATCATCAGGTGCCTTGCCGACTGGCGTGGGCGATCATGCCTCTCCATAATCCGCGATCTCCTGCAGCATGTATCAGTTCGTGTGCCGACACTTCTCCATGATATGCAACAAGACTGTCAAGCATCTTCTCTCGTTGTCTTCCTCGATCCCTCCTTCCACAGATCTTTCCAGTGGTCACAACATGTTCTATTTTCCCTCTTCTCATAACATGGCCGAAAAATGATGACTGTCTCCTTCTGATGTCAGTGATAAGTTGTCTTCGGGCTCCCGCCTCTTTTAAAACCTCTTGGTTGCTCTTTTTGGCTGTCCAAGGTATTCTAAGCATTCTTCTGTAAATTTATATATATATATATATATATATATATATATATATATATATATATATATATATATATATATATATATATATATATATATGCGCGTGTGTGTGTGAAGCTGCCTTAGTGTAGAGACTAGACGCTAGAATGCGGATTCGAAGGTAAGGGTTCAAACCCCAGCTGAGCCGGACTGGATACCACATAAAGTGCTAAAAAAAAGGCGACCGGCGTGATCTTGACCACTCATTCACCGAATGCCAACAGGCCTATATATTTATGTCAAGCCCTATATGCTTAGTACACTTGAAGGGGCGAAAAAGGGTCCTTTACTCTACTTTATACACGTGTGTGTACGCTTGAGTGTATGTGTAATCCGGTGAGCGTCTGCTTTCATAAGTGTGGGTGCAAGGAATAGCAAGAAAAAAGAGTGAAATAAAATATATCTCTTGTTTCGTCGATGACCAGTTTCTGTCCATCTTCCTTTTCATACAGATACCCGCTTTTATGTATTCTTGTGGCTAACTACATCATTCGCCATCTATGCCCATTGATGACGAACACTTTATAGCGATAACTTTCATTTGTCGTTCAATTCCGTGCCAATGTGAACGTAAACAGTGATACTTCTTGTTCGAACTAATATCTTTTCATGGATTTCTTTCAGTCTTGTATCTGTTTTTCCCGTAACCTATCAATTCTAAACAAACCAGCACATAAACTTTTGTTACTAATGAATACAGTAACTAATGTGGTTGTCCAATGCAAAATCCTGTGGGAGGGTTATTGCCATCATTCAGCCTACATATAGTAATCTATTCATCTGTTGCCAGCGCCATCGAAAGATATTCACTGGACTGGTTTTCCCAAGCTGCACTCGGTTACCATAGCGATGCACTGACCAACGAGAAGAATCTCTTGCTAAGATACATGAGGGCTTCCCACGAGTCCATGTCTCCGGACAATCTGGTGACCGGACTGGCAAGTTCGTGTTTTGTTGTTGTTGTTGTTGATTTTAGTGTTGTTGATTTTTTGTCACTTTTTTTTAATGATGTCTAACTTTGTTGCATTGTCTGATATTATTTGTATCCAAATTTGAATATAATTTGAAATCTTTAATAATGTTAAAAGATAGTGGTAGTAGTCATGGCAATCGTTGGCACTGGTAGTAGTAAACAGTAGTAGAAGTAAATGTCAGAGTTTTTTTTTTCCCCGGCGGCACGCAATGGTACGCTGTCGAACACCATCTATAGGCATAATGTTTTATTTATTTTTAGGTCGGCGCCACTGTAATAGATACTTATGCTTCGAATGTTGTGAGTATGATTTCAGATTCATGTTCAAAGGGTAGTTTTTTCTGTTTCTTTTTCTTTAAAGATCTCTGGGGTTCATCGATTAAACGACAGCATTCCACGCTTTATATCTCACTGTATTCTCTGTAGCCATGAAAATCGGTTTGCCAGCCTGCTAGGCCTGTCGCAGTTTCAACAGAGCACTGTTGTTCAGGACGTTACCGGGTGACCCAGAATAGCCTTCACGACTACCGTAGCGGCCCACACTATTTTTCAATGCGTCTATGACTGAGGTGACCAGAGCAGCAAGAAACAGAACCTTAAATTTCCCTCGACACTCGAAGCGGTAAATAAAAAAAAAAAAAAACCACCATTCCGTACTACTTTGTGTGACGCTCTTTTCAGGCAACAGCGTAACAAGATGCAGCCATGTTGGGAAGGGGGGGGGGGGGGGGGGGGTGGGGGGGGGGGGGAAGGGAACCCAGCGAGCGATTCTAGGAAGTCAGTCCTTTTGCCTTTCCTTCCAAAAACATAATATCTTTTAAATGAGAATTAAGCCATGAAACCGTTTGAGATGAGATGTATTATAAATGTAGCATTAAAAAAAAAAAAAAAAAAAAAAAAAAAGGAAAGACAGTCACTAACGAAGAATTAAGAAATTGTTAGGCACAATACCGGAAACTGCTTCCACAAAACATCAAATGAGTCAAAGGGTTCGGTCATCTGGTCAAAATCAGCCAGCAGCTAGAGCGTACCACGTAAAAATAGTAGGCTACAAATGAAGAGACCGACCAAGAAAGAGATAGAGGGAGGTAACCAGACCTTACAGAAATACAATATTAAAAGCTACGCAAATAGTGAAAGGCAGGAAGCTACATCTATCTCCTCTCTGCAGCGCCTTTTGGCATACTACCAGTAGGCAATAAGAAAAGTGCAGAAAAAGAAGAAGAAGAGAAGAAGAAGAAGAAGAAGAAGAAGAAGAAAGAAGAAGAAGAAGAAGAAGAAAGAAGAAGAGAAGAAGAAGAAGAAGAAGAAGAAAAGAAGAAGAAGCAGAGAAGCAAAGAAGATGAAGAAGAAGAAGAAGAAGAATAAGAAGAAGAAATAGAAGAAGAAGAAAGAAGAAGAGTAAGAAGAATAAGAAGAAGAAGGAGATAAGAAGAAGAAGAAGAAGAAGAAGAAGAAGAAGAAGAAGAAAAGAAGAAGAAGAAGAAGAAAAGAAGAAGAAGAAGAAGAAGAATCTACAAGAAGAAGAAGAAGAAGAAGGAAATAAGAAGACAGAAGAAAAAGAAGAAGAAAAGAAGAAAGAAAGCGAGAAGAAGAAGAAGAAGAAGACCAGAGAACGCAAAAAGAAGAATAAGAAGAAAGAATAAAGAAGAAGAAGAAGAAGAAGAAGAATAAGAAGAATAAGAAGAGAAGAAGAAGAAGAAGAAGAAGAAGAAGAGAAGAAGAAGAAGAAAAGAAGACCGCAGACGAAGAAGAAGAAGAAGAAGAAGAAGAAGAAGAAGAAGAAGAAGAAGAAGAAGAAGAAAAAGAAGAAGAAGAAGAAGAAGAAGACTAAACAATAAATCCAGTTTTGTGACTGACATAAATTTGCCACTGGTGAATTAGAGTTGTGGTATTCACTTACCTTCCACGTTCGTCCGAGATTTTTAGAGAAAACACTTTACATTTCAGAGCTGTTTCCGTGGACTACTGGTGTTTTGAAACCCTTGGACAGGCAGCACAGAACCCTGTCCAGTTTACAGACCAGAGAGGTGACAGATTTTGTGAGAGAACTAAAGGTAGGTCTGTGAGAACATTGAAGACAGGTGTATTTGTGTGTGTGTATGTGTGTGTGTGTGTGTGTGTGTGAGAGAGAGAGAGAGAGAGAGAGAGAGAGAGAGAGAGAGAGAGAGAGAGAAAGAAAGAGAGAGAGAGAGAGCATAAAAGTTAGGTTTGTGAGAACCCAAAGATAAGTGTGTGAGAGCACCGAAGGTAGGTTTGTGAGAACCCAAAGATGAGTGTGTTAGAGCACCGAAGGTAGGTTTGTAAGAACCCAAAGATGAGTCTGTGAGAGAACCGAAAGTATGTGTGTGAGAGCACCGAAGGTAGGTGTGCGAGAGCTCGAAGGTAGGTGTGTGAGAGCACGGAAAGTAGGTGTGTGAGAGCCCGAAGATGAGTGTGCGAGAGCACCGAAAATAGGTGTGTGAGAGCCCGAAAGTAGGTGTGTGAGAGCACCGAAGGTAGTTGTGTGAGAGCCCGAGATGAGTGTGTGAGAGCACTCAAGGTAGGTGTGTGAGAGCCTGAAAACGAGTGTGTGAGAGCACCGAAGGTAGGTGTGTGAGAGCTCGAAGATGAGTGTGGGAGAGCACCGAAAATAGGTGTGTGAGAGCCCGAAAGTAGGTGTGTGAGAGCACCGAAGGTAGGTGTGTAAGAGCCCGAAGATGAGTGTGTGAGAGTTACCGAAAGTAGGTGTGTGAGAGACCGAAGATGAGTGTTTGAGTTAAACAGACTCCTCGGCGATCTTCGTACTCACATTCATTGATCATAATTAAGTTTAGATGCAAAGTGGTCTTTGTCCCTGTGGCGAAGTGTTCAAGCCGTTTGCCTTGTGCTCTAAATGTCGTGGGTTCGTTCCACGGCTGAGCCCTTCACATTATGAGTGCAATTTATACAAAGATTCCTGGTGATCGTCACCGGAGATACGGAGTTCGCTCTGGGCAGGCGGCTAGCCATTCTGCGGAGACAGACCCAGCCATAAGGGATAAAACCTGGTGCAATGAAGTCCATCCTCAGTATATCCTCCTGACTTTAACCTTTAACTTAACATTAACACGCAGGTTTGTGAAAACACAGAAGAACGTTATGTGAGAACAGGGAAGGCATATGTGTGAACAAACAAAAGTACTTTATTTTTTGAAGACTCACAAATAAACATAAAGGTCCGTCTTACACTAAGCACTCACAAACACTCATTTTTACTCATCTTACGAGCAGTAAATACAAAGTGAGAACGCATAAACGATGTGTAAGGTGTGGGAGATCGCCTAAAGTAGGTGTGTGAGAGCGCCGAAGGTAAGTGAATGTAGGTATGTACAAGCACTGAAGGTAGGTATGTGGGAACACCAGAGGAAAGTGAATGAAGGTATGTGCGAGCACTGAACGTAGGTGTGTGAGAGCACTGAAGGCAAGTGTGTGAGAACACTGAAGGTAGGTGTGTGAGAGCACTGAAGGCAGGTGTGTGAGAGCACTGAAGGCAGGTGTGTGAGAGCACTAAATGTAGAAAAAACAGTGTGTTGAGATTAGGTGCATAGGTAGGGGGAGAGAAAGAGCACTGAAGGTAAAAGGTATACATGCGAGAACACTGAAAGTGGATATGAGAAATCATTGAAGATGTGTGTGTGTGTATGTGTATGTGTGTATGTGTATGTGTCTGTGTAAGAGAGCACTAAAAGTCAGTAATCAGTCTGGAGAGGGTGTATACAGGTGAAAATAGGTGGGAGAGAGCACTGAAACTATATGTCTGTGTTGTGAGTGAGTACTGAAGGTCGGTATGTCAGATCACTGAAAATAATTGTGTGAAAGCAGTGGAGGTAGATAAGTTTTTGCGAGTCCCAATGTCTTCCAAGGCATGATTCTCGCATCACCGATAGAAAGTCCCGAGAACGGCTTAAAAACTTCGTATCGGAAATCCACCTGTAGTACTATTGGTTCTTGTTACGTTTTCCGGCACAAATACACACTGGTTAACCTTCCATCCCTGCTTGCTCTCCTGTCACACGGGCTAGTCTACAGGGATGTCACGCTGTATTGTTTTCACAAAGCTGTCCGCGTTGTGTGTTACTCGTTGTGAGCAGCGGCCTCAAAATGTTAACATTTCTGAAACCACCGGTCGTACGATGGACTCTCTAGTTAAACGTAGGCTGAGACTATGAGATGGTGGGGGGGGGGGGGGGGGGGGAGAAGTCAGAGCCAGTTCTAGATGTTGTAGGGTCGTTAAAAGCGGTGACGTCGTGTCATATAGAACATGCAACATTGCCTGTGACAGCACCAGAGACAGTTAAACTTACACCCCTGTTACATAGACTAGCCCGTGTGACAGGTGAGCAAGCATGATTGAAAGTATGTTACAGGGGTGTCAATATGTAGAATAGCCCTCAAAATTTAAAGATAGGACTCTCAGATTTTCACACATCTGACTATATTATTATGCTAACATAAAAAGTAAACATCTCTGGAGTTATATATATATATATATGAGATAATAAGCTTTTTAAGTGAAACATTAATGTTCATCATCACATGTTCACATGTGCAAAATATAGATGCTAGTTTCTATCTCAATAAAGGGAAATCGTACAGCTAAATAACTTCAAAATTAAACTACACCCACAAAAATGGTGTCAGTATAAAAAGTTACACGGAAAATAGTATACACATAATAGATTTTTTTTTTTTTTTTTTGTAAAGCTACCTGAAATTTGCCTTAGTTTTGTTTGGAAATTCTTAACTTTGAAATTTCATAAAAATGAACACAATAATGATATCGGAATTCCACTATAATACGCTATAGCCAGTCACAGTGTGAGCAAGCAAGCAAAATTTCATGCAGGTGGGTTAAGATTTAAAAAGGTTAAAAGAGGATGAGTTTAAAAAAAATGATAATTTTACAACAAACGACGTCCATTTTTTGGTGAAAATAATCTAGACATTTGCCTCATTGACTCCGTCTCAGGTCAGGAAAGCCTTCAGACTGAGCTTGTGCCTCCTCTAATCCAAGTCGCTTCCTTCTTCTTGCGCTTCTCGCTTCCAATGATGCTGCTGTTGCTTTCTTTCGAGAGTTTTTCAGCCGTAACGTGTGAGTAGAGATTAAAAACAATTATGATGTGAAACGTCCACATAATAGTTGCATGTCACAAGGAGGATTCTAGAGATTTTGCTCCATCGCAGAAATTGAGGATTGCATTGTGAACTACAATTTTAACAGCTATTAATCCATGGTGCTTGTGTTTGGGGCAATGTCGCCAAATTGTGCTGTTTAGTAATTTGTTAGCGTTCTGGATGTAGCCATCTAGACATTTTCTCAACTGGTCAGGGTTCGAGAGATCTCTGAAAACTGGCTTGATGACCTCCATAACTGCTGCAGGCATGGCATTTTTATGTTTATAATCCTTTTCTGTGTTAGTGGCAACAGGTACTTTATGTGGGCACCAACTAATTTTGCATAGATTTGAACAGATTTTTGATCGGTAGAGAGCTTGTGAAAATATATCGCCCAAAAAGCCTCTAGCATTCCTTTCAATCATTCTTATTACCTCTAGCTGCATTTCCACAATATTTCTGAATAGAGTCCATCTGTGTGTCAGTAAGCCTTCTCTGTCTACCAGTATTCTTCTCGTCTGACAGTTTCTTTCCCTTCCCACCAAAATTATGGATCTTTCGTAGCCGCTTACACTTTTTTTTGGGGGGAGGGGGGCGAAAGTAGGTGGGGGGCGGCACGTGCCCGACTCATTCTATCTTCACAACAGGCATATCGCCGTATGGTTTTGAAAGAGAAATTATTTTGAAGCTGTTTGTGTCAGCATCTCCAATAAAGCGTGTGTATCTCAGCTTATATCTTACAACCGTGGAAAATAATTCTTTAGCGATTATTGCTTCCATACCTCCAGATGAACCATTATGTGTAGATGTACTCTGTGATTGGTGATTTTGTTCCCACAACTTATAAGCTTCTGAATCCTTGTCTTGAGTATTCCAGTAGTCACAAGATTTGCCAATTTTGAGAATGCACCTGTATCAATAACCTTTCCAGTGACACAGCTAATGATAGTGCTCACCCCTATTTTTAAGGAATGTTCACGGGTCATCCAGGTTCCATCTACAGACACATCAATATCACGGCTATCATCTACTGATTCTGTCTTCTCTGATAATCTAAATACTATTTCTGCTGCTCTCTTGATGCTAGATGTCTGAGGGGAACTAACAGCACTTTTTATCCTATCACTTTTTAGTTTACACGTGCTCTTCTGGAAAGTCGGCGGAAGATTCATTATTTCACAAAATTTTTGCAAGTCCGAACAATCACCTCCTGCACATCACATAGCAAAGACACCTCACCTATTGAGTGTACTTGTAAGCTGTTGCTGTTATTGACACTAATTTGAGGGTTGGAATGATAAATGGTCTGTCTTTTACAGTTTTGGTTGCACACAAATTCAAATTGACTACATAGTCCTTGTCTTTCGTTCTCAGTAAGTCTGACTTGGTTGTAACAAAATGCACAAACCAGCTGTGATGAAATCTGGTGACATTGAAAATATCTAGGTCAAGAATCCTGTTAGCCTTCACTGTCACATTTAGGATAACTGTTTACCTCATCACATTCTTCTAAATCTATATCTAGATCATCATTCATGTCATACAGATCGTTGATTTTTATCGATGACCGACAGTGAGTGGACGTGGCACTTGGAATGTTATCTTTGTTACTGGTTATACTATTATTATTACTACTGATTGGGTGCGTATCCTTTACATGACGTTGCAGAACCAATCCCAACATTACCTGGATGTTGTGTATTTTTACTACTGCATGTCAAAAAATTTCTTGTAGAAATGTCAATCTTTACATATATCATTTAATAGAATAGTATGATTTAAATCTAATTCTCTTCAACTCTTTGTAGCACTCATAAACCTATTGCCGGGAAACTTTCGCTTTGTTTAATGTTTACATTACTTTTTATTACTTGAAATTGCTTAGAATATCACTTATACAAATGATTTCAGAACGAACAAAATATCAACACGCGTCCACAAAGGCAGCCATTTTGATTGCTCAATATTGCAGGGTCGTTAATTGTAAGAAAACTGTTAGCGAGGCTCGCATTGTCGCTAATGATGTGTATATGTGTAATAACATAATTTTCTGATTTTTTTTTTTCTACCAAAACCAGAAAGAATTGACCATCTCTGAGCCATCCTAACTTGGATACCACTTATCCGATTAAAAAAAAAATCATACGGAAACGTGTAGGATATTGGTTAATCTTCAGTTTGATATCAAGTTTGCTTCGAAATTAAAAAAGTAACATTTTTGAAGATTCCCTGCTAGAACTGCCCCCATAACAGGTGTGTGTTTGGGTCGGAAAACCTAAAAAGAACCGTACTCTTAATGACTGCAAAATTGTGAAATGCATTTTTTTTCTAAGCTACAGTTAAAAATTCAACATTTATGTGACATTTCATTTAGCCTAACTATGATTTTAAAAGTAACCTTGTAAAAATATTTGATTTTTTGTAATCACTACTTAAAAGGCAATCACCAGGGGAAACCTATTAATAAATAAAAATTTAAAAAAAATTAATCGGGCCTTATATGAATCTAGTACTTTCTGAATATTTATAAAAGAAACGATTAAATACTTAGTTTCATTGTGTTACGTAAAGCGCGTAGACATCAAGGAATTCCCCAGAGACTGCTAACATAACATTAGGGATAAAGTGACAGATATTTATTTTACCCCTACAAAGGTCAAATTTCTCCAAGGATTCCAAGGGAGAAATATTTTTTCACATGACGTAAACACAATAGAACTGTCCAGTAGATCAAGTCGTTTTAAATATCAAAGGTAATTTTAACAGACAGCTTAACGAGCAGATATATTTTTGATTCGATTGAATCATCTGTAAAGTTGCTTTGTATAAGTTTTGAGTTAGGGGAACAAAAAGGAAATGAAGGGGAAGGGGGGTACAAAGTCTTTCCCTAGCTCTGCATTGTCGATGTGAATGCAAAATGGTTTCACAGTTTATTTAGGGAATGGGTCAACGTTGTATGAACGCTGGTATGAATAAATGTTATGTATTCTCAACCTTACTGCATGGTACAGAGACATGGTCAATGAACAAACAACTGGAAAATCGTATCAGTTCTTTGGAGATGTGGATATACAGAAAATTAGGTCGTATTTCATGGAAACAAGCTATCAAATACAGAGGTACTGAGGAAATTGGGAATGAAAAGAGAGTTGCTAGGTGAAATAAACAAGAGACAAGTGAAATATTGTGGTCACATTAAAAGACATTACAGTATCGTAAAGATCATCCTAGAGGGAAAGGTTCAAGGTAAGCGAGCAAGAGGCAGACAGCGTTACAAGTGGGAGTATAACATCAAGAGATGAACGAACAGCAGTATGAGTGAGTGTACATCAAGGGCAAGAGACAGGGCTTGCTGGAGATCCATTGCAGCCAACATTCATTGTGGAGACGGCACCTGATTGATTGATTGATGAATAAAGGAAGGAGATGAAAAGCGGCTTCAACACAACTCTGTGTTCTGGGGCGAAGGCGCGGGTGCGAAGTGGCTATGCCCCTCTGTGCGCTTTATTGCAGCCGTATGTGAGGGGATGGAGACGGGTGAACCAGTGCATAGTGGCTTTACCGGAGCTCTTAGTTGTAGTTATGGGGTGAACAAGTGGCTTTACTGCAACTCACTGTTTAGGGTGAAGGGTGCAAAGTGGCTCTAAATTGTGGAAAGGGGGTTAAAAACGTCTTTACCACAGCTGTGAGTTGGGAAAAGGGAGGGGGCGGGAGGTTGGTAGTGAGGAAGGAAACAAAATGTAGATTTGCTGTAATTGACGCGGTATATGCGCAATACAATGTAACAACTGTGGACTGGTGGCTAGCTTTCTTAGTGGCGGTCTGCTGTTGATGAATTCAATTATATACACAGACGTGACTGTTTTGAAAAACATGCTTCTAAATGTCTTTTTTTTTCTTTGCATTCACTGACCGTAAACTTTGGCGGGAAGTTCTGGTTGTTCATCCACTTCTGGACTTTGTCCTTGTTCCAGAACCTGAGTGGCTTACAGATCTGTCTTACGTGTTTGCAGACTGTTGTTCTTTGGCCTATCAGGAAGATGCACCTAGACTTCGAAGGAAACACCACCAAACTGTCGACTTTTATCGTATGCATGTTAGTAACTAAAAACGATTGCTTAAAAGAGGCTAGTGAAAGTAGATCTCCATATACAACAATATGAAAGAGACAAACACTGTTCTTTGATCACATAATGAGAAGAGAGACATTGGAGAACATCGTGACAACTGGAAGATCAATGGGACAAGAGGTAGAGGCAGACCAAGAGAGATGATGCTGGATGGGCTAAAACGATGACATGGAGGGATATCCTCAAGAGACCTGTTCCAGTCAACCAGGGATCGTGGTCTGTGGAGACACATGAGCGTCTACGCCTGTTGGCAGGGCACATGATAATGATGATATTAGGAATAGTTTAGTTAGGATTTAGACAGCAGGTCAACATTATGGCGCAAGGGTAGTAACCCATAATTGCTTCGTTCTACTTCTAACTAAAGACTGAGTCCGAAGAATCTCAGCACAGCGCACGAACTCTGTAGCACCATCGAAGATCATTAAATACTTTGGGTAGATTATTACGTCCAAATTTTGGCCGGGCACCACTCTTAGGCTACCCTTTTTTCGATTTCCAACTGCGAATGGATTATTTACATTCGCAACAATACACACGGGCGTCGATCTTATTACCCAGTGATTAGGGAAAACTACTAGAAGTCAACGGGAAAAATGCCAGCCTTCACCGCGACTTGAACCCGGGACCTCCAGGACTTGAGGCGGACGACATACCTCGACACCACGCAGCCCCCCCCCCCCCCCTCCCCGTTCACATGTTAGAGAGACGTGGGTCTATTCTCCCCTCTCCTCGCCCAAAAATGAGACGCTGAAACCACAATGATGAGAATCCTCAATGGATGAGACGAAATAAATCTTCTGAAAAGTAAAAATGGTTAGTGTCGTATTGACCTCTTTACTCCTTAGTTGCTGAGTGCAATCTGCTCAGCCAAGGGCAAAAGCAAAAGAGGAATTGGGATCAGACTTTGTTAACTGAGACCCAAACAATGCATAATGTGTGAATCGGCCTGTCTACTAAATCACCTCCTTTGCTTAGTATGCTCTCTTACTGTTTTGTATTTAATAGTAACGTACCCAAGAAATCTGGCTTGTCTAACGGTCACTGCTACTGTTACCAGTTTAAAAATAATGCACTGATGAATTTAATCAAGGATATTTCTTTATTCGCATCTTCTACGAAACCTTCTTCTGGTATTGTAAGAGGTGATTGGTTGATTGATTGATTGATAGACTGATTTACTGAATGATTGTTTCCACAGACGGACTGGGCCAAACTGGCAGCAAGCTCCTGTCATAGCATCATTTACAATCTGATCACCAAAAAAGTCTCCACTGTCTGCGACCAAAGAGACAGCAAGGTAGAGTCCGGTTCAGAGGCGGAACTCACCAAGAGAAGTCATCTAGAGGAGAGGGAAGTCGTGGGCGAGGTGTCAGGGCTAGTTGGAGGTGGTGTGGGGCCGTTCTCTTCAGCCTTAACCTTCTGTTTGTACTGTCTAGCGGCTTACCCCCGAGAGCAGGATCGTTTGAGGACAGAGCTAGGAGATGTCTGCAAAGCCAAGGTCAGGAAAAAACGTCGTTTCATTTGTTATTGTTTTGAGTTATCTGTAGTTTAAAGGTTATGACTATTTTCCACACAAGTAGGCCTATTGGGCATATTGGGCTTAACCTCTATTTTATAGGGAAGCAGCCGTCGTGTAGCGACTAGTCACTCATCTGTGGATCTGCAGGTCGTGGATTTGAATCCGAACGAAGTCGGACTTTTTTTTTTTCTTCAGAAATAACCCTGACTTTTGTGTCGACTTAGCCTTGAGTGGGTACCAGGTAAAATCACGGGAAGTAAACACGATATGCTTCTGATGAAACTGGGCTACTCGCGAGGTTATCGGAGTGTGCAAATAAAATTTTTATGTACAAAGCAAAGAAAATTTTAAAAAATCACAACATTCAATTTATAGGCTCCATAATAACCAGTAGTGGAGATTTTTTCAACCGAGATCAGAAGGAATATAGCCACAACAATGCAAAATTGAAACAACATCAAAAGTGTATAGTTGAACAACAGCAAGGAAATCAAAGTCTACATTTTGAAAGCAGGTCATCTTCCCTACAGCAAAATAAGGTTGTGAGTTCTTGACTGAGCGGTTAAGGGAGACAATACGGGCTTTCGATCCGAAATGCTATAAAAAGAATACAGAGGATGCAGAGGAACAGAAATACTGACATGCTGATGGATCTGAGCATCAAGGGAGATTGACTAACGAACTGCATCTGGTCTCGGAAGGTGAAATATTTTGGCCAAAGCAAGCACTGCGGTAGATTTGGAAAAATAATAGGGGAAGACAGGGGGCCAGGAAGGAGGAGCAGGGACCGACTAGCATACAGATGGGCAAAGGATATTATTGACATCGGGTATTAACGCGCATTAGGCAAGGGAGCTGACGAAAGACTGAGTTTCTTTCCGGCAGACCAGATTAGAGCGATGGACCTGCAAAGGACCTGTTGTTCGACATAACGAGTGATGAAGACAACTTTTTATCCAATGAAGCAATATTCAGTGAGTATGAGTAGTAAGGTTGACTGCTTAGTCCAACATGAGCCTGGACAGTTCTTGAGCAGTGCGGACATCACATGGGAGCCACAGTAAGTGTGGGATTAGCGATACGGTTCTTTCTAGTCTGGCTCTGTTTCATTGCCTGTGCAACCTCCGCTGCCTGGCAGGCTGATGTATCATGTCTGAGGGATGTACATCATCGAGAACGGTTCTCCACCGAAGCCTCCTATGAAGCTGTGTTGATGCCAAAAGAATTGAGAGCAGTTTTGAGAGTGTTCGTGTGGCGCTTTTTCTTATCGTTCTGTGACCTTTTTCCTTGCTAGAGCTCGCCTTTAAATACACTCTTTGGGAGGCGAAAGTCTACAATGCAGGATAGGTGACCAGCCCAACGCAGCGGATAATTCTTCAGTATTGTATGGATGCTAGGCAAGTTTGTCCTATCAAGAACCACAGTGTTTGCGATCCTATCTTGCCATTTGATTTCAAGCAACTTTCTGAGACAAATAAAATGACGCTCTTCAATGTTGTTAGCATAGTGCTGATATACAGTCAACTTTCCGAAGAGTAGTACTGGAAGAATTACAAATCGATAAAAGTAGAAGATTTCTGGTGAAAAAGAGGGGGTCCCAAACATATACACAACCTTCAAGGCGCCAGGCAAACAGCTTGAACAACGAAAATAAACAAGTCCAATCACAGGCTTTGTTAGAGAATTTAACATGGTCCGAAACTGCCACTGGGCAAACCAGATTTCTTCAGCATGAGCAGACCAGGCGAAAAAGTGAGACACAAAGCGATTTTAAGACAAACAGGGTAGAAACAATCATACATTATTCCTTTTATGACTTCCAGGTACCATAGAAAAAAAGGAAGCCGGGAAAGGGGGAGGGGAGAGTACATAGACTCATTATCCTTTGACAAGTATGTCGTAAAAGTCGATTAACTAAGGTTTACAGAAATCGATTACGTTGAGCCGAGCGATGCAGATTTCGGAGCTAGTCACAACACAACGTGATAGCCGTTTTTTTTTTTTTCTTCAGCAAACTCAAAAGAATGAAAATCACCGATGACTCTTTGTTTAAGAGTTAAATTTCAAAACAATCAATAACACGAAGAAAAACAATGCTGTATTTGTGAAGCATAATGTCAACCGATGTAGAGTAACAGCAGAAATCGATCTTTGACAAAACATGGCAAACCAAACTATTCAGCAGATGTTATCGATGTCGCTCGAGAAATTCAATAATTTACACAGAATAGAACTGTGTAACTAAATATTCATACCAACAAAATGCTCTCAGTGTCAGAACTGACCTTATTTAGCACAGCAGGCGTGGAAAAATGGGCGTATATGGCAGTGCAATTACCAAAAAAAAAAAAAAAGTGTTTTTAGAAGCGAGTGTAGTAGTAGTACCAGTACATTTTACCACACTTGGACTTCACGCAAATGATAAACACCCGATGACACACGGTGCCACCATGTGGATGAGGATCACCCGTGGAGAGGTCCCGGAAATCGTGTTCAGCTTTTTGACCATATTAATGGCCAGGCTGTATTGCGGCCTTTGGCAAGAGCCAGGGTCGGGCTTCAAAATAACCAAACATTGCATCCCACGGGGAGATAAATGGTTATAGAAGAGAGTGTCCACAGACAACAACTTATTACAAGGACCTATGGTATCAATCCATACAAATTGTAGCACATAAACCTTATGTTTCCCACGTCATTGCAAAGTAAAATTTATAATTATGCAAGTACACAACTGACCATACTGACCAATCTTGGGCACTCATTCTTCCCTGTTTCGATGTCGTACGATTTTAGAGATCTAAAGGGTTATGTTATAACTTATAGTAGAGATTTTACTATTTATCCGCTGGAAATATCCTCCGAATAACGGGCACATATTATGGCGGCCACAAAAACACCATAACAGGGCCTCAGTCACGTGTCAATTGCAGACTTTCGGCGACATAATTTGCGCACTTTTGGCGACTACCGCAGCCGCCGAGAGAATCTCACATGCCGCTACGCGCGGCGTGGATTGGGGCTAAACTAGATGGCTGGGACTCACGAGCAGCAGCTTCCGCATCTCCTGCAGCTTTGATAGTGAGTCCCAGTAATCTAGTTTAGCCCTAATCCACGCCGCGCGTAGCGACGTGGGAGATACTCTTGGCAGTGGCGATAGTCGCCGGAAGTGCGCAAATTAGGTCGCCGGAAGTTCGTTATTGACACGTGGCTGAGGCCCTGTTTTTGGCCCATCCATAATATGTGCCTGTTATTCATAGGGTAGCCTCCGCTGGTAGATTGTCTCTATTGACAAGAAGAATGCGATTGCCATATCATCACCACTATGTGCCTGGTCCTTCACATAACGACGCTTCAATTTTAGGCTACCTAAAAAAACAATACATTTACAAAAAATATATTTAGCCGAAATCCCGCTTCGTTCACTTACCTACACAAGGTGTCACTTGCTTCATGTACTCATCTTCGTGCTAGTTTGCCCCTGCCTCTCTTTCTGCTACTGTTGTTTCCAATCTGCCGTTGTGTTTAATGTGGTCAACTTGAATTTTTTTTTTTTAGACAGATTGCTATCTACTAGCCAATCCTTCTTGATGTTGAGGTCTTTTAGGATGTCAGAAATTATTTTATTCTCGCGTATGCAGTTTTAAAAATGTGTTCAGTGCGTCAAATTTAATCTCGTGCGTGATGCCCGGCTCTCTGGCGTAGTTGGCTAAACCGTATTGCGCGGAGACCAGGTGACGAACTCCTTGTGGTCCGGGTTCAATCCCGGGGGTAGGCAGGAAAGCCACATTTTCTCCCAGATTTACGGTATTTATTTACACTGGAATCAAAGCCAAAAGGTTGCGATATTCATAATACAGAGCCTAAGAGATAACAACTCATGGCTTCTGGATACTAAATCAAATAAACAATCTCGTGTGTGATCCGGACCTCATGAGGAGGGGGGGGGAAGGGTATTGTGAGTGGGAGGGAAAAGGGGGGGGGGGATGGGTTAAAAGATCTACTGTCTCCTTCACATGTTATAAAAGGTGACTAACTTATAGGTTGTTTATCTCATATGTGTTGAGTGCAGACTCGCAGCCTATCTGTAAACCACAAGATAGCCTTATATAATTACAACAGCAAGCAAACAACAGAGGTGTAGACCTGTATATTCTATTATATACTTTACCGTTACGACTCAGAGTCGACTCTACAATTGTCGATGTTTTCTCGATTTCTGCCATGATTACTCGTTCTGGCCACTACATTTTTGTATACAAAGTTTGTCTCCCTCCAGGACTGCAGTTTGTACGATTAACATCCTGAGAATGAGTATAAAAGATTTACAAATCCGGGAAATTTTGTTCAATTGAACAGACGTATAGTTAATTTAGTTGCGTATGGCCTGACGGTTGAACTCGGTTTATGGGACCTCTCCAGGGGTGATCCTCATCCGCTAATGGTACTTTGTTCCACCGGATGTTTACCGCTTGTGTGATGTCCTGGTGGGGTCAAATTTACTTACTTACTTTACAGGATGTTGCAGAACCAACACAATAAATTTGTGTGTGTGTGTGTGTGTGTGTGTGTGTGTGTGTGTGTGTGTGTGTGTGTGACTATTGTGGTTTTTCTAGGCAAATTTACTTCCAGTAGAAGGCCGATTTGCCGATACCACTGTCGAAACCAACACAAGGCGCAAGGCGCGCAACTGGGATCGAACCCGGCACCTCCGCATTACGCACAGCGTTCGCAACGACTAAGACACAGACACCGACAGCCATACAGTATAAAGTTATATTTGGGCACCACAGACGGTTACCAAGTCACCTATAGTTCAACGTGGGCGGGTCCTGACCACGTTTACAAGCCATTTGTTGATTCAGTTTAGTCTTCCTTGGCCAGTTGTTGTTTTAATAATGCAGGATGTATCCGGTGACTCTGGTAAAGCCCTGCATGCTTGGAACAAAATCTATAGATGACGTTCATATTCCTTTCCGCAAACAAGACCTTGCACGTTCCTCTTGCAGTCACCACTTGACACTCTATGTATATTATTTATTTACGTACCTTTCTGTTGCTTACAGGATGAACTCAGCATGGACAAACTCTCACGACTGCCACTGATGGATCGATTCATCAAAGAAACACTCAGATGTTATCCAGTAGCGCCCGGGTAAAACAACTTGAAGATCAGTGTTTCCCAACCATGTTTGTGCCACGCCCCACCTCAAGCTTTCTAAAACGCTCTGTGTAAAATCTGGACAAGTCCATTTCTGACCCCCGCCTCTCCTCCTTAACAACCAAATTGCCCCCATGTAGGGCATGAGGGCCACGTTGGGAAAAGCTGATAAAACCTGCTCTACTGTACATTTTTGTTTGCTTTAATTGTCCCTTTCCAGAATGGCTTTTTTGTAGGATTACCATCTTATGAGTGAGACCCAAACATGCACGAATCCCACAAATTTATGTAAAAGACTTGCTGATCCATGATGATGATCCATTACTAAATGGAAAATATGACAAGGAATATATGATTGAAAACAAAAAGAAAAACACGAAACATACAGAGTTCATAGAAATACGTTTCATGTCATACACATGTCCCATTAGCGGGCGCACACACACTCATCCATACAAATACTGCTATTTAAAGATAGAACAGCAAATAAAATTGCCAGAAAAATCCATACTATAGGAATATTTCGCAGTTTGGTCATCGATTTATTAAAGCGTCCAAAATCAATGTCTCTATATCTATAGAGGAAACAAAGCTTATTATCTGTAACTGATATGTCTGTATTAGTGGGCTGTGTTTGTCTGTGTGTCTGTGTGGCTATATGTCCGCCTGTCAATCGTTCTGTCTGCCGGTGGATACAATTTTCCAGCAGGTTATGTTCCAATGTTGGTTCATTTTACGACCCCTTTTTCTGTTCTTTTGTGTTGGTCCTTAAAGGCATCGCTGCCTGGTTGTGTTTATGGTGTATTGCTAGGCTACGATATCTGCACCTTCCCGCTTACTTAGTTGCCTTGGACGACATGCTTGTTAGGGGGCAGGGGGTTTATTTTTAGTCCTTCAAAATGGGGCCTTGGTGTCGATGCGGGAAATGATGGCCTGTATGCTTGTTAAGTATTAGAGAGAAGTTTACGTTCTGAAACAATGTTTTGCTGCTTTTTTTCCCCTTCAATCTAAACATAACAATGCACTGTCATGGCCACATTTTGACTGACCACAGCGTGTCCAGGGAATGCATGGAAGACTGCGAGCTGGACGGTGTCCACTTCAAGCGCGGGATGGTGGTACGAATTATGTTTTCCTCCATGTATGCTCAAGAGAAATATTTTCCCAACCCAGAACTCTTCAGTCCAGACAGGTAAATAACTGGTTACATCTATAGATTCCATTGTTTGTGTGTCACGGTAAAAAAACACCAAAGGAAAGTGTATGGGATTTCTCTTCCACGCCTTTATGCCTACGCTGGCTGCTTTTACTACCTAGGACTATACCTGCTACTCATTTAGAGCTTGGCCAACCTAAAAGCCTCTTAAGTCATTTTCGAAAAAAAAAGTCTGGCCCAATCAGGACATGAATCCACGACACTCTGATTCAAGGCGAGCGTCTGGCCACTACAGCATGGCGGCTCCATTGTGTGTAGTATTCCCTGTCATTAGATAATACTCGGTGTAGCGGCAAGACCACGGGTTCCAAACCTATGAGTCGCGATCCAAACCGGGGTCACGAGGGGTTTTACTTGGGGTCGGCGGGCAGTGTATAGCTGTGACACGGACTGTCAGCACTTCTTCAATTGAAAGAGAAACATTGAATTGTGAGAATGAATCTTCTGGAACAAGACTAAAGTCCTCAAGTGGATAACATCCAGAAACTTTCGCCGGAGTTTAACAACCGGTAAGCGCGAAAAAGAAGAAAAAAAAAAAGAAGCGGCAGCATAAGAAGAAGAAGAAGAAGAAGAAAAAGAAGAAGAAGAAGAAGAAGAAGAAGAAGAAGAAGAAGAAGAAGAAGAAGAAGAAGAAGAAGAAGAAGAAGAAGAAGAAGAAGAAGAAGAAGAAAAGAAGAAGAAGAAAATGAAGAAGAAGAAGAAGAAGTCATTAAGTTGTCATTAACGAAAACTCAAAAGAAAATTTGAAAGTGTTTTAAAAAGTTACAGGTTCAGTCAGGCCTGTGTACTAAATATGCCGTAAGTTTTACCATTTTAAAATCCCTTTTTGTAATGTATGGGAAGTGGCAGTGAAATGGGAGTCACAAGTCAAACCCCCACCCCACCACCAAAAAGTTGAGTAGAAAGCGCAGATTTGAAAGAAGAAGAAAGATCAGTTAATCTAAGAAGAAAAAGCACCAAGCCAGGAACACGATAGACGGCAGGCACAGTCCCTTAACGTTCTGGTTGTAGGTGCCATTCTGAGGTTTAGTTTCTTTCCCAGGACTTGAGTTGTGCGTGCCCATCTGTTTTACATATCTGGCTTATTTGTGTGCAGTCTTTTTGTTCCTCAGCAGATGAACCCACTTGGAAAAAAAAATCCTAATCAGTCGTCTTTTAGGACATGGTTTTTAAGGAACAGTGGGACATATATTTTGTTCACACCCCCCCCCCCCCCCCCCCTTTCTGGCCCTCCCTCCAATGCGGCTCCCGGAAATCACAATGGATACATATTTTCTAGGTCTAGAAATTAGGGAAGGGCTCAGTTCCCTGTAATGTTTCTGGGGAATGCAGGCTCAGTCGACCTTGCCTCCAGGTTTCAGCATCCCTGTTTCTACTTATTGTGTGCCATGATGTTGATCCGTCGTCTAAACCTAAACATAAACTTTTTATGCACATATTTAGTCATGAGAGGTAAAGGAGGCCGGCATGGTGCTGATCAAACTTCCCACTATTGGTCTATAAAATATAGGTCTATCCCTATGTGCTAAAGTTGTGGAAAAGGGTCCTTACTTTACTTATATATACATATTTATATAGTTATTATACAACCTGATTCTTTGAAACTAAACTAAAAGGAAATTATATACTACACTACACACAGTCCATATTAAAGTTTGTTGTATGGCAGAGACAGAGAAACGTATTCGTAATTGCTTCTTATCTCTAGCCAACTCTCTCCTTTATTGCTAACATTTTCTATCAGTGACGCAGCTTTTCCAGACCTGATTTTAATATCACGTGTCAATCTATAGAGCTGGGAAAATCAGAGTCCCAAGTCAACTGACCTAATCTCCCGTCCATTACTGTTTTGACGAATGTATCATTGTCATCAGCCGGTGAACGTCTGTGAAATGAAGGTCTAGTGTAATATGTCTACAACACCATCCGTTTGACTTGTCATGAGGAATTCATCCGTTTTTCTCTTGATTCTATCTCTTCATAACCACCATTATCATCATGTAGCAGGAGCTGTGCAGAACGTCGCTCCCGTCACATCAAGCCTGAAAGAATCTCAGTCTACTTCTTCTGTCCTGTGTCAGTCTTCGTGCTGGTCGTTCCCTGCAGCTCGATACCATACCTTTCTCGACTGTTCTTTAAAATCCATCGCGACGTTTGACATGGACAAAGTATCTCTCTATTAGTAAGTGAAGACCCCTTTTCACGCCTTTAGGCATATCCGGCATATGGGAAGAGCGCCCATATTTTTACAGACCCACGGCACTCTGTGGGTAATGTGGTCAGCATTACGCCGGCCGTCTTTATTTCCCTAGAACAGCCATCCTGGTACCGATTTTAGGCTGGGTCGACCTGCGACCCTCCATAACATGATAAAAATCCACGCAGCCAGCAGTGGGTTTCGATCGCGGTTCGTTTGAATTACCAGTCGGACTCGTAACTCCTAAGCCACGGACGCATCTCTCTCTATTACGGCTGCTAATATTTGGCGCCAATTTATGCCGATTTCATTTTGTAACTGTTTGTTGTTGGCTTGCTGGCACCTTTCCATCTCTCCAGACGATAGAGTTATACTGTACTATGGACAAGCAATGGAATCGCAGTCTTCAGAATAAGACCATGCGATTGCAGTACTGTTGTTACCATCACATATATTTATTTACATTTTCTCAGACGCTCAGCGTTTCTGCAATCATTACCCCCCACCCCCTTTTTTTCAAACCCTCTTTCTTATTTCCCCTTTCGTGCAACAAGGTCCATGTCATTTTGTTTCCACGAATCTACCTCAATACTTGTATTACTCATATCCCGCTTGCACTCATCTTTATATCGTGTTAGAGGTCGATCTCCACATATTTTACCCATCTGTATGTGGAGTTCAAAATTTGCAAAATGTATGTCAGTATCCTCGCCGATGCTACAAAGCCTGTGCACTGTGCTGAGTTTCTTCGGACTCAGACGTGAGCTAGAAGAAAGAACGGAGCACCTTTGGGTTACTACCCGTGTGCCATGATGTTGATCCGTTGTTCAAACCCCAATCCTCAAATCTTCTTGATCAGCTCATAAAACTTGCCGATTTCAGTCACATTTGTTTACACTGAGCATACGCACCCATGGCCATCCTTACTCACATAGAACTACAAGTTACACTAGGCTGGTAGAGCCGTTACTGGTAGCCTAATTATAACGTCTTTGGCGGTTGAACATGGCATCTAGAATGACCTTTTTTTCTTTATTATCCATATGTAGATGTGTAATCTCAGGGTGTCAAATCTTCAGACAGAAGCTCTGAAAAGAAAGGGTTGGGGGGGGGGGGGGCGACACAAGAAAAGAACACATTAAGTGTTCTACTACTTGAAATAGCGAGCACACAATCAATAGCTTGCACAATTTACGGCCTGACATAATTCTCTGCATCTCTGGCGGAAACAATGAAGACGTTGAATAAAAGGGGGGGGGAGGTAAGCTATTGTAAACTCTTTTCCAGGGTGGAAATTAAGTAGACTGGCTTCAAAGTCTTGTTTAGTAGTAAGTAAAAGTAAAAGTAACAATTTGATGATCGACAAAATCATAAAATAATATATTTTACATAATAAAAAATACATCACAAAATACTTAAGAATGCTTATTTTGCTTCAACAAAATTGTTTATTCTGGGGTAGAGCTTAGTGATTGATGATGATGATGATCCATTTTTTATATAAAGTCGACCCCGTGTGGGTTGCAATTTTTCGTTGTTTGGAGCTCCAACCTTGCATTTGCCAGTGGGTCCTGGATATACTCGGGCCATAAATATGGCCTAGCGGTTGAAAAGAATTTCTGGGACCTCTACACAAATGATCCTCATCCGCATGGAGGCACTTTGTGTCACTGGGTGTTTATCGCTTGTGGGATGTTCTGGTGGGGTACAACAAGAAATAGAGAGAGAGAGAGAGAGAGAGAGAGAGAGAGAGAGAGAGAGAGAGAGAGAGAGAGAGAGAGAGAGAGAGAGAGAGAGATCCACTTCTAAATGGAAAAGATGACATAGAATATTTGAGTTTCGTGTTTTATTTTACTTCATAGGTGCATGACATTATGTAACAACTGTAATGTTTATTCTTTTAAGAAATATGAAAAAAAGGGTATAGAAAATGTGTACATGCTTGTCTGTCGTTTTCAGATATCAAGTTGAGGACAACAGTGGTGATTCCTCTAAAGTCTCACATCGAGCAACCGCCTTAATGCCATTTGGTTTGGGTCCGAGGATGTGTGTGGGCCGCAGGTTGGCCGAAGTGGTCCTGAAACTTGCCATGACCCGCATTCTGCAGAACTTTCAAATTTCCTGCAGTGACGTCACGCAGGTCAGTTTTTTAAAGCATTAATAAAATGCAAATTTTTTTTTACTTTTGTGACTTCCGGGGTCCCACAATGGGGAAAACAAGAATAGACCAACTGCCTCCCGAAAAAAAAAAAACATGTCGCAAGGGTCGATTAATTGTGGCTTCCTTCGAAGTTGTGCTGTGCCTGAGAGACACGGAAACAACAGTCTGCATACAATAAGCTAGATCTTTGAAAACAAATGAGCACATAAAACTCAGGTTCTAGAACTTAACCTCCTCGTATGGGTTGTATGGTCCCATTGTGGGGAAACACGAGAATAGACCCACTGTCTTGCCAACAAGCATATTGCAGGAGTCGACTAACTGTGATCTTCCTTCGAGGTTGAAAAGCATCTGCCTCAGCTGCATGGATCAATCAACGGCACAAAACTAAGCCAGTAAAACAGAAGTACATGCAAAACTCAGGACATGGACACAAAGCCAAAGTACACATGTAGGAGCGACCAGGACTTTCCATAGGAACTTTAGTCGGTAAACGAAAAAGAAGAAGAAGAAGAAGAGGAAGAAGAAGAAGAAGAAGAAGAAGAAGAAGAAGAAGAAGAAGAAGAAGAAGAAGAAGAAGAAGAAGAAGAAGAAGAAGAAGAAGAAGAAGAAGAAGAAGAAGAAGAAGAAGAAGAAGAAGAAGAAGAAGAAGAAGAAGAAGAAGAAGAAGAAGAAGAAGAAGAAGAAGAAGAAGAAGAAGAAGAAGAAGAAGAAGAAGAAGGAACAAAAGGAACAGGATCAAAGTCCAGAGGTAAAAGAACAACCGGAACTTTTCACCGGATCTTCTAGCCGGTTAACGGGAAGAAAAAGAAGAAGAGGAAGAAGTGCAACGTTCAACTCTTTCTATAGCAGGGAATCAGCAGCCTCTGTGTTTTGGTGGCTGGACGCTTGCCTGCAGATCTGAAGGTTGTGGGCTCAAATCCAAACGGTGCTGATTAAAAAAAAAAAAAAAAGGATTATGGGTCCTAGGTCGACACAGCATTTAATGAGTACCAGTTACATTTATGGGAAGTAAAGGCCACCGGCGTGATGTTTACCACATCACCCACCTACTGGTCTGTAAAATAAAAGCCTAGCTCTGTATGCCCTATACGCCGAGGGTATGCAACAGATTTGTGTTCTCTAACTTGGAAACTCCCCATCCCATACATCATTTACTTATTTTAATTTTATCTTTGCCTACAAGAGAGGAAAAAGGTATGACTATTTTGTCATAAAGGCCCTTCCCTCCCTCGCTCCCCCCCCCCCCCCCTCCCCACCTTTAAAAAAAAAACATTTTTCATTATCATTTGAAGGAGCAACAGTCTGCACACAAGTAAGATAGATATGTAAAAGGGAAGCAAAACTCAAGCCCTGCAACAAGATCAAAGATCATAAGTGGACGAAACACACACACACACACACACACACACACACACACATCACACACATACATACACAAACACACTCACACATACACTTACTCTCACACTCACTCACACAAAAACATACACACACACGCACGCACGCACACACCTTCCGTCCGAGTTTACAACAGGTGAAAGTGAAGAAGAAAACTGAAGAAAAAAAATGACAAACGAGTTTCAGAGCAGAAGGAAGACCAAAGTGCAGACTGGCTGACAACACAAACAACACACTACCGCGACTCAAGCTCACATAGCCAGCCCAACACATCAGTGCTAGGAAATGGAATTCAGACAGGGACATCGCTTCGAGGCAATGTTTAAACCATTACAGAAGCAAGTCAGTTCGTCTGCTGTTCGACATTCAATAGATGAGACGAAACAAGGCAAAGCTGAATTAATCGATACATTTCATCTAAATTCTCTCTTCAACTGTATTGACGACATTGAAATCTTTATCAACATCCTTTCGTCGCACGTCTTTTGCAAAAAAAATTTTCTTATCGTTTGTACACTAGTAGTGGTGGCGGTGGTGGTGGTGGGGGGGGAGAGGGGGGGGGCCACATTCGAACCTTGTGAGAACAGCTTCGCTTAAAATTATGGTCTAGGGATTAGAAAAATCAGACAATGCAGTCAATATTTTTTGGGGGGAAAAAAAAAGGAAAAACTTGGTGAAAACTGGGGGACAAGAACACTGACGAGATACGTGAGTTTTGTCATCGTATGAGATCGTGAATAATGATTATCTATTCTTTTGCCCGGCTCTCTAGCGAAGTTGGTTAAACCTGACCTTCGCGGCGGCCGGGTGACGAACTCCTTGTGGTCCGGGTTCACTCCTGGGGGTAGGCAGAAAAGCCACATTTCTCCCAGATTAACGGTACCTATAATGGAATCAATGCCGAAGGGTTGCGATATCCATAGTACCGAGCCAAAGGGTTTACAACTCATGGTTTCTGGATACGTAAAAAAAAAAAAAAAATCTATTCTTTTTTGCCATCGCATATGATGCCTATCCTCTAATCTCCACTCGTTTTGTGCACTTCAATCTTGTTAAGGTAACGAATTGTTATATCATAATATATTTTTGCCGCTTTGAATTACCTCCAGTTGTGTAGGTAATGTAGAAATAAGGGAAATGGCTCTACAATGAAGACATTCTGAGATTAGACGAACAGATAATTAACAAATATGCATCGAGATGGGAAATAGGGGGCCCAAGGTGCTGGACTATTCCATGCATGAAGTCGAATTGATTGTGCTAAATGGATCGAAATGGAGACTGGACTATTCCATGCATGATGTCGAATTGATTGTGCTGAATGGATCGGAATGGAGACTGGACTTTCCATGCATGATGTCGAATTGATTGTGCTGGATGGATCGAAATGGAGACTGGACTATTCCATGCATGATGTCGAATTGATTGTGCTGAATGAATCGGAATGGAGACTGGACTTTCCATGCATGATGTCGAATTGATTGTGCTGAATGGAACGGAATGGAAACTGGACTGTATTCCATGCATGATATGGAATTGATTGTGCTGAATGGAACGGAATGATGACTGGACTGTATTTCACGAATGATGTCGAATTGATTGTGCTGAATGGAACGGAATGGAGACATAGACTGCAAGCTTTGTTTGACAACCAATGAAACACCATGACAATGAATGAACGAATGAATGAAAAAACGAATGAATAAATGAACGAATAAATGAACGAACGAATGAATGAACGAACGAATGAATGAGTGAGTGAGTGATTGAATGAATAAATGAATGAATGAATGAATGAATGAATGAATGAATGAATGAATGAATGAATGAATGAATGAATGAATACTCACGGTAAAAAAAAAATTACTAATGGAAAGCATTTTTCTACCACAACTATTTATACCAGGTCCCACTTCAGGTCGCCCTACGGCCGTTCCTGGTAGCTCGAGATGGAGTGCACATCAAGATGAAACCAATTCTTCAGTAATTGACTTACTCATCAACGATGTCGGAGAATTTCATTAGGATGCAGTGTGATGTTTGGATTAAGTAAGATACACGCGTAGCATTCAACAGTGCGCGAATGTAACAATGATGCACTGTCTGACTTTAATAGTGTCAGTGATTTAATTAGGAAACACTGGTCGTGAACTGTGTCTGCAAATTTAGTAGAGATACACTGTTTGTCTTTAACGATGTATGATTATTTAAGTGAGATATATTGTTTGTCTTTAATGATGTCTGAGAATTTAATAGAGATACACTATATGTCTTTAACAGTGTATGATAACTTAACTGAGAATTATTGTCTTTAACTATATCTGAGAATTTAACTGAGATACACTAGTTGTTTTAACGATGTTTGAGAATTTAATTAACATGACATGCTGTCTTCAATGATGTCTGAGAAATTAACTGAGATGTACTATATGTCATTACGGATGTCTCAGAATTATTTAAGGGACCCTATTTTTGCGTAATTTTTTTTTAATTAAATAAGAGCAATATTTGAACAGCTGTTGAAACCACCAACAGCGCTAAATGACAAAGAAGATGACGATATACAGAGCATAGCTTGAGGAGGAGCCAACAGAGACTTAGCAAACAGGCACTTTAACGGATAACATATGAATTGAGAAGGCAAGTACGAAAAAACAACAACACTTTAGGACGAACGTCGATAGGAGAGGCCAAAGGTGCTAAACTGTGGATTATATGAAGTGGAACTTCAATTTTTGGAATGAATCCTTTCATGGAAAAAGGGGGGGGGGGGGTAATATTACAAAGGACGAATATCAAAAGTGTGTTTCACACAGGAATTAACTGAGAAAAGAGTTGTCTGGGAAAAGCAGTCGACATAGCGAAAAAGAGACCATAAAAGACACCAAGATTTTATTAAAATGGTGGGAACAACACATGTAATTATATTTCTTGAAAAACAAAGACTGGAATCGTATGGCCACCTCGTCAGAATTAACCCAGCGTTACATGTCACAAGAGCATACCAATATAAGAATGGAAACATCCAGCGTAGAAGCAGACCAAGAATATAATGGATAGATAATGTTAACAACTTGCTGAAACTCAACAGTAGCACAATGCATCAAGATATCGATCGCGCAATATCCCGGAAGCCGACAGTTTTCCGTGCCTGCGACGCCTGACATCATTGACTGTAGAGAAAGACAATAAACATATTAACTAAGAATGCTTTCATCTTGTCCCAGCTCCCAGTTTTGCCTATTATTTGCATACAAATAAGGTAATGTCACTTCCGGTGATTGACGTCCTGATGATTCGTCACATATCCAAACGATTTTTTTTAAAGAAGTTATCCAACGCTATTTGTTTAGTTCACTTTTTTTTTTTTTTAAATGTTCCGAAAGTGTCCAAACACATTGTCATCAAAGGAATTGATACGCTATTGTAACTATAGCAAAGTTTGGGTGCCATTTGTCGATGAAAACCTGCATGTTTGCTCAAGTTGACAGCTATTCCTTAATTTCAGCACTTAGAACCGCCCTGTCATCTCCGCATCCACTGCCCTCGTTTGATGATTTACCGACCACGTCGGAAGAAGGATGAATATTGACATTTAAGACGAATATTGAACACAAATTTCAACGAAAAAAAAAACAGTATGTTGCTTAGGCGCTGCGAACGCGCTCCGAGGTTGTTGATTTGATCCCACCTGTGAGCATTTTGACAGAAGACCTTGTGTTGGTTTCGACTATGGTATCGAAAGCCGACCATTTAAGTAGCAGTGGCAAATTACGCAAAATTGCCCGGTGAAATCACAAACAGGGGAAAAACAAAAACTGCTGGGGTTGGTTCTGAAACATCCTGTAAAGGTCACGCTACAAATTTTTATTATTATTATTATTATTATTATTTTAATGTAAACAACTGCACATTAGAGTTTTCTGCGAGTCTGCTTGTGACATATAACGGCTGAAAAGGATAACGAATAAATGTACCTGCTATGAATCGTGCCTGGGAATTCGGTCAACAAGCACTGTTTGTCTTCAACGATGTTTCCGAATTCAAATAGGACGCACTACTCTTCTCTAACGATGTAAAACTGAATAAATATGCTCTATTTTTATTACATTGATGCCTCAGATTTTAATTAAAACGGATCATGTGTCTTGGTGATTATTGCGTAATTTCAAAAAGAGGAAATCAAACAATGTTACAGGGAGATTCTTAGCCTGTCATAGACTAAAAAGAGCGAAAATACTGACATTTTTCACGTTCTTCTTCTTCGTGTTATTCTTTGTGTCACCAACTGCAAAGTCCGGCAAATTGTTTAGGTTGTTCGTTCACTCCTTGACTTTTGTCTTGATCCAGAAATTGAGTTTTGCCTGAAATCTGTTTCACATATGTAGCTTATTTGCATGTTGGTTCCTTGCCTCTCAGGTACATGAACTTCGTGTTTGAAGGAAACACCCTTAATTAGTGGTCCTACGACATGCTTGCTGGGGTCCGGGGACAGTCGGCTTATTTTTTTTCTCCAAAATGAATCCACGGAACACCACGCGGAGACTTACGATCTAAATCCCTAAGAGACTAGATCATAAACAGGATTGTTTCTCGTGAAATGAATAACTATTGACATATAATTTCAAAATGGGTTGGAGAGAGAGGGAGAGTTAATGGAATATATGGTTCCTAGGACTAAATGGAGAAAAAAAAAAAAAGACTGGCGTTGGATTGGACACGTTGGAAAAACATGAATACAGTATAACTAGAATGTCTTTGCACTGGAACCCAGAGGGGCATAGAAAAAAGGTGGACCAAAAACACAAGGAGTAGGTACTAAAGAAAGAAGTTAAAAAAATGGACAGGGCGTTAGGTAAGCTGCATGAAATAGCAAAGGATAGAACAATTTGGCCTGATTTGGTTGAAAGCCCATGCCGTACTCAGGGATAGAAGACAGAAGAAATTTTTTTTTTAAAAGGGTGATATTCATTAATGAAAACTGGTGTGTAAATGACTAGAAGTGAAACTGTTCAAGGAAGCCAAGTTTCTGTCTGTAGTGGCACAAGTATTGCCAAAGTCAGAAACATTCATCCTCGTTAACTAATCTCATTAATTGAACAGTCTCAAAAGCACTTGTCAGAGTTTGAAGCCTAATTAGTGGTCATCTTTGGGTCAGTGCTGCACTCGTAACGACAAAACTGTCACTAGCTAAACAAAATGGCGGGTAACTTGTCATCAACTGACCGGGCTTCGTTTTAATTTTGCCAGAGATATATGCATTGTGCCTGTTTGGATGACATTGTTTAATTCAGGGAAGGTGTTTTGTTTTTGGACATAATAAATCAGTCGTATAATCTAATTGTCGGACTGTCTACATGAGAACCCTTCGTTTAGTCCAACAGCACAAGCAAGATTTTTCGATCAGCGAGGACAGAGATGAAAGTCCTTGGTGATTTGTGTGGACCATCGCGTGTGTTTTGATTGATCCCTGTCTTTCTATGTACACACTCCTTCTAATTTTCGCACAGGACACGTCAGATTCAGATACCACTAGTTAACAAGATACAGATCGGGACCATTGATAAATGGGGCTTTGGGACTGTAACAGTCACAACTTAACATTTCCAGAGGGACTGTCTATCCAACACACAGCCAGTAGACGGGACATTTTTTGGCTTACACGGTTCAATTAGAGAACATTTGCAGACATTTAACCACCTGTTTTTTAAACTACAAGTTACTTTGACAGATTTCATTGTGGAGGCATGGTTTTGAACATGAACAGATAGTTAGGTTGAATGGACTGGTTCTACTGAAAAATGGGGTGGGGAGAGGTGCGCACTGCAACTGCGCAAGACAGAGATGATCTCTCCCCTGTTGGACAAAGTAAAGTCTTCAAGATGTCTCTCAGAGGACAAAGTGATCTCTCGCCTGTTGGACAAAAGTCTAACAGGTGATCTACAAAGAGATGATCTCTCGCCTGTTGGACAAAGTAACAAGTCTCGCCTGTTGGACACAAAGTAGGTCTTCAGAGATCTCTCGCCTGTTGGACAAAGTAACAAGTCTACAGAGATGATCTCTCGCCTGTTGGACAAAGTAACAAGTCTACAGAGGTGATCTCTCGCCTGTTGGACAAAGTGACAAGTCTACAGAGATGATCTCAGAGATCTCGTTGTTGGACAAAGTGTCAAGACAAGATGATCTCTCCCTGTTGGACAACAAGTCTACACAGAGATGATCTCTCGTCTGTTGGACAAAGTGACAAGTCTACAGAGATGATCTCTCGTCTGTTGGACAAAGTGACAAGTCTACAGAGATGATCTCTCGTCTGTGTTGGTAACAAGTCTACAGAGATGATCTCTAGTCTGTTGGATCTCTCAACAAGTCAAGTCTACAGAGATGATCTCTCGTCTGTTGGACAAAGTAACAAGTCTACAGAGATGATCTCTAGTCTGTTGGACAAAGTGACAAGTCTACAGAGATGATCTCTCGTCTGTTGGACAAAGTAACAAGTCTACAGAGATGATCTCTCGTCTGTTGGACAAAGTAACAAGTCTACAGAGAGGATCTCTCGTCTGTTGGACAAAGTGACAAGTCTACAGAGATGATCTCTCGTCTGTTAGACAAAGTGACAAGTCTACAGAGGTGATTTCTCGCCTGTTGGACAAAGTGACAAGTCTACAGAGATGATCTCTCGCTTGTTGGACAAAGTAACAAGTCGGCATCTTCTTAACGTTTACCGGTAGAAAACACCAGCGGAAAGTTATGGGTGTTCTTTCACTTCTAGACTTCAATCTTGTTCCAGAACTGCAACATTGCGTGTACATCCGTTTTACATATCTAAAGGGTAAGGGGCCAGTATCCACGCCTTAAGTCTTTTTGGGCTTACATTATCAGACCTTTATTTTATAGATCAGTCGGCATTGAAAATAATAAGGTCAACATCACACCGACCGCCTTAACTTCCCCGGATTTTTCCTTGTACCTATTTAAGGCTGGGTCCGT